TCTCTTGGAAAATGATAAGAAGGGAAGCAGAGTACTTCCAACATTGATGTCGACAAGGCCAATGAAAATCGAACTCACTGTCTACGAACAAGCCTGGCGAGCACGCCCCTAACCGATTGCCATGCTCTGGGTCAGGATATCTGATATCGCCGAGGAGATGCGAAGGAAGAGGATTGAGGCTGAGATTAACAGCTCTGGATGGGTGTCAGCCGACAGAATGGGCGCCCCGCCCAGCCAGTTTCCTATGAGCCCGCAGCAGCAGCAAACACCTTCACTTGGGGGGCCTCCAGGCTCCCCGGGAGCGTATGCCTCACAGCCCATGAGCCCTCAGGGCCAGGCACCGCTCCCGCCTCCCAGTCAGGTTGCACAGCAGCCCATCGATGGCTGGTTCAACCTTGAGCCGGCTGGCCAAATTCGCCTGTCTCTTGGATTCGTCAAGCAGAATAAGGAACGCCGCACCGTCGATCTGGGTCTCGGACGCAAGGGTGCCATCAGGCAGCGCAAGGAGGAGGTCCACGAAATGTACGGCCACAAATTTGTCCAGCACCAGTTCTACAACATTATGCGCTGTGCTCTGTGCGGCGACTTCCTGAAGTATTCTGCCGGTATGCAGTGCGAGGACTGCAAGTACACTTGTCACACTAAGTGCTATACCAGCGTTGTCACCAAATGTATCAGCAAGAGCAACGCCGAGACGGATCCGGACGAGGAGAAGATCAACCATCGCATCCCCCACAGATTCCAGCCTTATTCGAATATGAACGCCAACTGGTGCTGCCACTGTGGCTACATCTTGCCCTTCGGCAAGAAGAACTGTCGCAAATGTTCGGAGTGCGGCTCCACAGCTCACGCTCAATGCGTTCACCTTGTGCCAGACTTTTGCGGCATGTCTATGGCTGTGGCTAATCAGATTCTTGAGGGCATCAGAACGACAAAGCAGATCAATAAGCAGAAGGCGACTTCCTTGAGCGAACGTACTCTGCGGGGCACTGGACGCACGAGTCCTACCAGTAGTATGAGTTCGTCCACGCTCGTCAGCGGTGGACATGCGCCATCATACTCTACAGGCTCGGCTGAAGCAACGGAAGCCGCCAAGATCATGTACCAACAGCAGACGTCACAAAGGCCGCCCCAGCCTGATCGGACTTCGTCCAGCCAAGCTGCAGCAGCTGCGGCTTCCGCCGCCATGAGTGGCTCGACAGTCGCTACCGGCCGGCAGAGCCAGTCGCAGGACTATGGTCGCTACAGCAGCGGCTACCCCACCTCGCCTGATCAACAACAAGATGACCCTTACAACCAGTACGGATCTCAGCAGCGTCCATACAACCCTGCAGACTACGCCAAGGTCAACTCCTACTCAGGCCAGCCTCAGCAGGCAAGCCGCCCGGTCCAGCAGCAGCAGCAGCAACCCCAAGTACCACCACATCAGGTCACTCCCCAGCAGCACCAGCCGCAGCACCAGCAGCACCAACAACAGCAGCAGGCAGCTCCATACCAACAACCAGCAGCGCCTATCAGCAAGCCTTCTGTACCCGAGCCGTCCCCGACATCGCCCACCTCCGCTGGCCCGCTTACCACAAGCGGTGGGCGCAAGCCGTTGCCATCGGCCACAGACCCTGGAACAGGACAGCGCATTGGCCTAGACCACTTCAACTTCCTTGCTGTCCTTGGTAAAGGTAATTTTGGCAAGGTCATGCTGGCGGAGACCAAGAGGTCGAAACGTTTGTACGCGATCAAGGTCCTGAAGAAGGAGTTCATTATTGAAAATGATGAGGTTGAAAGTATCCGATCAGAGAAGCGAGTGTTCCTGATCGCCAACAGGGAACGTCATCCGTTCTTGACTAACCTTCACGCGTGTTTCCAAACGGAAACCAGGGTATACTTCGTCATGGAATACGTCAGCGGTGGCGATCTTATGCTACACATTCAACGCGGCCAATTCGGCACCAAGCGTGCACAGTAAGTCGGTGGTTCAGTTTAGGCAGGTTTAGCAACTAACGCACGATAGATTCTATGCGGCCGAGGTGTGCCTGGCACTCAAGTACTTCCATGAGAACGGAGTCATCTACCGTGACTTGAAACTGGACAACATCCTGTTGACACTCGATGGTCACATCAAGATTGCTGACTACGGTCTTTGCAAAGAGGACATGTGGTTCGGCTCCAACACGAGCACATTCTGCGGAACGCCTGAGTTTATGGCCCCAGAGGTATGAAACCATCATGCTGGGCTTGATTAAGGAGCATTTACTAATCCCTGCACCAGATTCTGCTGGACAAAAAGTATGGTCGCGCAGTTGATTGGTGGGCTTTCGGCGTCTTGATCTACCAGATGCTGCTACAGCAGTCGCCTTTCCGCGGCGAGGACGAGGACGAAATCTACGACGCCATTCTTGCGGACGAGCCACTGTACCCGATCCACATGCCTAGAGACAGCGTGTCTATTCTCCAGAAGCTCCTCACCCGCGAGCCCGATCAGCGTCTCGGCAGCGGCCCGACCGATGCCCAGGAGATCATGAACCAGCCTTTCTTCCGGAACATTAGCTGGGATGACATTTACCACAAGCGTGTGCCCCCGCCCTTCCTGCCGAGCATCAAGAGCGCCACCGACACGAGCAACTTTGATTCGGAATTCACGAGCGTCACGCCAGTGCTTACCCCCGTTCAGTCTGGTATGTTATTTATGCTTTCCAAGTATGACCGACCCCTGCTGACCTTGTCTTTCAGTTCTGTCGCAAGCGATGCAGGAGGAATTCCGCGGATTCTCCTACACTGCCGACTTTGAGTGAAGAATGCAGCGAGCGAGGACATGATAGATGACTAAAAGAGGGGTGAGGATGGGCGGGCGGGCGGGCCCAAGGCGGGAGGGAGGGGTCTAGTGTCGACAAGACTCGACATCAGCAGCCGGATGACCATCCGGGCTATGTTTCAGCGATGCCTCAGTTGAGGCTCATAGCCTCACTAAAGTGAGTCTGGGAGACCATGTTGGTTTTCTAAACTTTCAGCGATGCCGTCAGGCTCGGACGTCCTCGGCGCAAGCTCTGCCGGATGTCCTGTCTGAATCTGGTTATGATGGAGAGGTGAGGACATGACCGAAGGTCGCTGGCAGATCGCGGCATAGCGAATTGCACACCCGTTAATAAAGAGCGTTGCGGTTTCACGTAGTGTACAAGTGCGATATGTGCTTCAAGTGCCTTGCGAGGGTGTATTGTCTTGTGAGGATCTATATTCTGTATACAAGGTATCTTACAGCATTTGTACAAGGGAGGCCCCTACGTCCGCCTCAGGAGCATAAAGACGACGCCGGAGGCGACGGCGGCACCCGCTGCAGCGCCTTGGAGTGCCAGGATCGATGCATCCCGCATGCGCAGGTCGATTCTGCGCTCGCTATACAAGTCTTCTGCTCGGTCTCTCCACAACGCGGGTTCAGAGAGGAATGCCTTCCAGGTGGTAGGTTGCGGGGGTGTCATGTCCGCTTCTGGTTCCACCTCTAGTTCTGCAACGGGCGGGCTGCGCCGTCTCGGGCACCGCCATGCCCGCAGCTTTCGCTGCTGCGAGAGTGCCCTCTGGCTGTCGGCTCGACATCTGCGCCGACCAAAGGCTCTGGTGTCCCAG